TCTTTGCTTCATCATTTTACTCGTAATCTCGCCTTTTTTACCTTTTTTATTATTTTCTGTTCTTCTCTTGATCAACTTTGGATTCTCAAATGATTATTTCAAACTATTAGCTCAAGTGTAAATGCTTTTTCCTTGTCTACCAATGATCATTATTAACTGAAGGTTGATGATATTGAATGTAAAGTAGATGAATTAGAAGCGTGAAAGCTTTTCAATTGAGCTAATATCAAATGCTAATAAGCATCTTTTAGGCCAAAGATTATTTCCATTAGAAGTGAAAAAAATTTTCATCTTCATCAATAAACTTTTAGGGTTGCTGAAACAGGTGAACTTGCAGATTAAATTAAATGCTAAAAGAGGTGAAGGATTGCCAGTTCAGCTTGGTTTCAACTTGGTTCAAATTTTTCTCCTTCTTTTGCTACTTTGATTCAATCTCTTTTTTTCTCGCTTCTGGTCAACTCTTTTTTCCTTTTCTTTGAAAAATTTTATTCTCAACAATTTTTTCGTTAAACTTGAAGATTAGACTTTAATCTTTAGGTTTGCCTTCTTTTTACGGAATCGATTCATTTTCTAAATTGAATCACTTATCCATGTTAACTTGTAATTCAGTTGATAATGAATCTGTTGGTTTCATTCTAGACTTTTTGCCTTTTACTTGGTCAATCTTGGATGGCAAGTTTTGTTCATTCAATTGACTGATTCGGATAATGCAATGAAATTGTTCCTGCAATGGATCCATTGAAAGAGCAAGAGATTCACTCTCACCTTGAGCAATTACATTCTACATTCACAGCTTTTAAACAGCATTTGAAGGCAACATCTAAAGGTTGATTGAATTGTCTTCAATCCAGTTAATTGTTTAAAAATTTTGATTCATTTTAGTTTCTCAATAAACAGAAAGGAAATTGAAAAAACCAAGAAACATCCAGACATTTAGATCCAAGAAACATCTGCCAAATGGCGATCTTTAGCTGTCTTTTGAATGAAGTAAACTTAAATTTTCCTGAATTGGTTCAAGAATATGATTGAAGTTTTTTTGAAACTTTATTGCATTAATCGTTGAATCTCAATAATTGAACCTTTTTCATTTTTCTGGAAAATATGATTATTGTGACCAAGCTTTTGCGCAGTCATTAAAAATATTTTGTCACTTAGATTGTAACGTTAGGTTTGAAGTAGATGCTGATGACAATATGATGAGTGATTAAGGTGACTCGAGATGGTAAACTTGATATCTTAATGAATTTTCCATGGAACCGCATTTAAAATTCAATACATAATAAAGTTCTTCAGTGATTATTAATGCAGTTTTATACAGTAATACAAGGTAAAAATGTATTAAACTGATTGTTCTGAATCACTTCATTTTCTGTGCACAACCAGTCTGTAATATCAACTTTTATTGACCAAGTGCTAAGTAAAAGTACTAGTAAAAGTTTTTGCAACAGTTTTTGCTAAACTCAAAGATGGAAGAGTTTGGGAAATGATTCAGTTGAGAAATGATGTTTGATCTTTTCCAGTTTTTTCTTGAAAAACTGTCAAAAAGGCTCATTTTTCTCCTGTTTTCTTGCTACTTTGGTCAATGTTATTTGACAGAAATTACCTGTTTTTAAAAATTAATAACTGGACAGAAACATTGCGCGCTTGAAGGTTAGCAAAATTCAAGACAATTGAATGTTTCAAGAACAAAATGGACAACAAGAATAATGACAAATCGAGCAAGTTATTGAAAAATTTCGTGAAATATTCCTTATTCGTTTTTGTTTGTATTATCATTTTCAGTTGATACGCATTTCATTAAACAGAATCGAAGTTACACAAACTATGTAAAAAATAATAATTCAAGTTGACTCTTGTTTCCAGGATAATTTTGTCTTACCAATACAAGATTAACTAGACTTAACTAAAGCAACTGATTCTACGATTAAAAGTGATTTAAAGTTGAATCTTTGAGAACAAGTTTAACCTTTTCCTGTTCAAGATTGAACAAGAGTTGAACCTTGAGTTTGTCCAAGTAAATGTTGAGTGAATTATTATTGCGTTTTATGGATAGAAGCTATCAGAAGAATATCACTTGGATAAAGTGGTGACAAGTTTCATGGTTCATTTGATAAACTCAGCACGAGATGAAACTTGATGAGTCGAAATGTTTTCCCTTCAAAGTTGCCTAATAGCAAATATAAATAATGCATTAGACTGGAGGCTTGTCAATGTTAATAATGGGTGAAAAGAGAAGCAAAGTTTACACTAAACTCAGCATGAATTTTTGAATGACCCAAGATATTGACCATTATTCGCTGTTGATTGACCCTTTACTTGAAAGTTGCCTCAATAATTACGAAGGAAAACATGATGAGCTTGTGAAACTAGACTTGAAAGCAAAGGAAAGAAACAATTGATTTTTCAAGTTTACAGACAAAAGGTTGACCTTAATTATTGAAACAAAGTTGAGTTTGAGTAGAGTTGAGTAAAGTTGGAGACTTCATGTAATCATGATGATCATTTTTTCTTCATTTCTTCTTCTTCTTATTTTCTCTTCGAAACGTTTAAATGGTCTTCTCAAGGAATACCAATTACCCAAGGTTGAACCAAGGGTCAAACTTGTTAGCAAGCTCATTGATCCATTGAATGAAGAGTGATGTAAAAAACAATCCTTTAAACATTAACTTCAACCTTTAATTGGATTGTCCAAACTGATTCATGTTCAATGTTCAATCTTTAACAGTAACTCTGGTAACATTGAATTGTCTAAAACAATAAGTTGAAGATGAACGAGAAGAGCCATTGATTATTGCCGCAGGTTAAAGGGAAGCAAGAGGATCATCAGCTAACAATGCTTTTGCTCATCATGAATGTACTTTGTCTTCACAAGTATTCACTCTCATCGGCCCCATGAAAAATAAATCAATTTATGAAATCAATTTTGAATCGATAAGGTCAAAATGTTGACACTCTTTATCATCATTATTAATGGTTGCTCACAATTAAATGTGTGTCCAATTATTAATGATTTTCAGTCTTTATCATCGCCAACATCAACATTGATTTCCTTCATTAAATGGGAATGTCATTGGGTCGACAAAAGCCAATAAAGCCAATTGACGCATTGTAATGATTATCAATAGTTATTCAATAAAATGTTGAACAAATTCAAACTCCAGCAAATACGCTTTTAAATGTAGTTTAAAACAAAGAACGAAAATGAATAAACTTGAAATGTTTTGAATTTTTGGACATTTGTTTTGATGAAAGTCTTTAACATTATGTGTGACTGTTATGAGGGTTAATGGTTTTCAAGTTGCCTTGTTATTTGGAAATGAAAAACTCGTTTTCTGCTTTTGTTTTATTTCCAGTTTTTGGTGAAACAATGTTGATTGATTCCAATCAATAGCTGATAATTTGTCGTCACTCGATCATCAACTCGGCTTTTATCGTCAACTTTTTATTCCCATCATCATAATCATCATCATAATTCTCATCGTCATTATCACATATTAAATCCCAAACAATCCTAATGTCATATTCAGTTGATCGCTCCAATAGTTTGACTTAGCTTTTCTGTTTGTTAACCTTCTCGACCAATTTTGTCCTCTCAATGTCTCCATTCATTCCCTGAACAGGGAGTGAGTTTGAATGGATAACATGTGAAAGAGAGAGAGAGAGAGAAGATAAAGTAATAAAGAAGATGAAATGACAGAATAAAAGGCGAGAACAAAAAACAAAGTAAGAAGTTGCAGTTGAAAGATGAATAGATGTTAACCGTTAGTTGAAGTAAATGGTCATTAACAGGGTCAGGGGTGTCTCTGGGGTGTCTCTTGGGGTTGCCAGTAAGGTGGCCTCGATTGGCTTAAACAAAAGGGAAAAACAAATGAGAAGAAGAGAAGAGAAGAGAAAATGAAAAGAAAATAAAAATGACCAATAAAACGTTTTCTTCAGTTTTCCTTTCAATATAAACTTTTCACTTTCATGCAAGTTTATTGTGTCCAAAGTGCCAAGTGTTTGGTTGTACAACAACAAAAGGACACAAAAAGGATTCCATTGAGCAAGAGTTGAATCATCCGATTGATTCCATTATTAATACATTTATGAGAATCATTCAGTTCTCAACTTTTGTGGTCAACATTGATCAGTAAATTTTCAACAGTTTTTTCTTCTTCCATCAATAAAGTTGATCGGTCAAGATTTGCCTGTCAATCATGGTTTCTGTTTCATTCATTTTTCCTTCGGTGAACCGATAACATTGATTCTGGTCTTGAAAGCAAATCAAATCTCAGCTTCACTGAATATTCATATGAAGCAGAAGAAGAAGAAAATCGAGAGAAACAATTTTCTTTGGAAATTTTTTCCTTCGCTCAAAAATCTTCCCACCAAATCTGAACAACATTGATCAACCTTTCAATTGATCAAAATTTTAGACCGAAAATGGTTCAACTTTGATGGAACATTTTGATCCATTTCATTGTAAATGTTTAAAAAAGTGGTAAATTTCAAGTTGTTCAAGATGATTAGTTGAGTGCAAAGTAAGAGGCTAAAAATTGAAATTCAATGTTTTCTCACATTGCAATGTAAATGTCAAAATTGTGTTAAAATGGAGAAGAAGAAGAATCGAGGAGAAAAATGTTTATTCAAATAGACCAAAACTTATCATGAGAATGATTATTATTGCATTGAATAATACTTATGTATACATGGATCAATGATGATAATACTTGTGTTTCCAGTTGTGTTCATCATATTTCCGATTATCATTATTTCCCCTTCTTTTTTTACTCTTATCAATACATATTACTTACTCATATCAAGATATTCAGTGACAGAATACGGATTATATCATGAATGTAAACATTATCGTAACAAGCAGAAGAGAATGAAAAAAAGAAGGAAGAAAAAAAAGATTTTATCATATTTTCACCGAATATTTCAATTCCATTCAACTGTTTTCTGTTAACCTTGCATCGTTATTATTATCATTACTATAAAACATCAATCTTTTGCTTGCCTTTAGTGTTTTGATAAATGTAAATTTTAATACAATTTGTTTGGTTTTGTTGAACATTTTACTTTCATTTTTAGAATCAAGTTTACCCCCAACAAAAAGACGTTCAAACCTGATTCTGTTTTACAATCCATTCCAATTTAAACATAATCAATATTAAGCCATAATAATGTCAATGTTGTCAATGTTTGACGTTTTAATGTTATTCTTACTCCTAGCATACCTTGTTTCTGCAGACATCGTAGAGGACACAAGGATTTGTGCGATAATGCTTAAGTTCCTCTCGTTGGCCATTATTGCTGTTACCTTGCCCTTTTCATTATTTTTTTGCATCAAGGTAAGTAAACTGTGCAGTGATATTATTTTTCACTCTCAGTCAGTCAATTTCCTGTAGAGACAATTTCCGATTCTCTTTTCTTGTTCCAGTTCAACTTTCATTTTTAATGACGATGATGGATGAGTAAAGGAGGAGAGGCAAGGTGTAGGAGGTTTGCGAGTCAAAGTGAATTACTTTCAGATTCATGTTTACTAAGGTTCAACTGGAAATAATGAGTTGATCAAATATTGAACAAAATTCAATTATTATCATCACCATCATTTTCATGGCTATTATTCTGGTAGACTGTTAGCTGGAAAATAAGCTTCAGGTTTACTTATAATATTAACAGGAACAAGTCCGATAATTGAGACATTTCGCTTAATCCATTGATGTTTGTTGTTGTAAACATTTCATTGCGTTCCATCAAAATCAATCTTTTAAAATTCATCGACAAATTTAGAGAAGAAAACTTCGAACCAATCAGTTGATTGGAAATGAATTTTGTATTTGAATATAAGTTTACGGGAATGAGAAATAGTTCTTTTAAACTGGAACGATTGACTTATGATTGGTCTTTATTCCAGTGTTTATCAGTTGATGGCATGAGAATTCCTTCTCTAGTTGCAATAGTTGAAACTTGTGAGGCGATCCTTGGAAATGAACAAAATCAAATTTCAAACCACATCTATGTTTCGATTCAAGCTTATCCAAGTTTAAATCAACAGCTTAATACACCGTTTATCACACTTCAGCTGAATCAGACAATGTTGAAAGTTGAACTCGTTTTTAAAACCATTTCCAATGTTCACATTTCACCAGAAACCAGCTTTTTTTCAATAATAAATTTGACCTGAAAAAATATGATGAGGCAACAAAAAAACTATATTATTCCTCTTGTAACCCTTCAAGCCAAAATCAACATTGAATATTAAATAATCTTACCTTTTTTTCATCACACTATTTGCATAGAGCCAGGGAAAGAGAGAAGAAAAAGTAAAAATGAACCCAAAAAACGAGGTCAAAACAAGTGAATCCCATGAGATCAAGCTGAACTACCAGAATGAATCAGGAAAGATGAATGATTGATAATAGTTGACTTTTTTGTGCCTGAAATGAGTTGAAATAAGAGAAATGTATTTCTTTTATGGTTTTATTTTACCTTATTTCTTGGTTTTCTCATTAATTCATGGTTAACCATCAAGAGCAATAACGTTAATTAGTTCATCAAGCTGCAAAAAAACGACGAAATATAAAGCAAATTAATAATCAGTTAACAACAAATTATATGCAATAATTGACTTTACAATTGGGAAAGGAAAAAAAGAGATGAAAATGTTAATTGAAATGATAATGTAAATAAGTAAAACTACAACAAATAATGCATCAATTATTAGTTGGTTGTTTTCACTTAACATGATTAAATGGAATGTATTTGAATATATTGTCTTGAAACAATTTAACTTTCATTCTCAACATTCAATTAAATCGGTTTTGTTTAAATCTTTTGCTTCAATTTTTGATTCACTCGTTTACTCGGGAGATTTTGGCTGTTATTAATTTATCAATTAAAATGAAATTATCAACCAAAATAATCTCATTTAATTATAAAATTTTCAGTCAAGTGCAGGGTAAAATGCAGGGATTTTGAGTTCAACTTGCACTCTTTTCAATTATATTAATATCTAGACCTATTCAGATGATTGAAGTTTTTCAATCTCAAAGGTAAATTCATCTACGAAAAATTCACTTTAATTATTCTCATGTTTCAATAATAATAACAATAATAATGATTGTCTATTTTATTCATAAAACTAACCTTATCTAACCTTGTCTAGGTCCTATTCATGTTGCATATTACCAAAATGTTAACATTTATTTATTCAAAGGATAATGATGATGATGTGAAGAGTAACTCAGTTTTGTAATAATGTTTGTCAACAGATTATTATTATTATTATTATCATGAATATGTGATTTTAAGTAGATGGAAAGTAATTTATCGGATGAATATTGACTGTCTAAAGACTGGATGAAAAGCAATTTCTTTTTTTTCAAATCAGGTTTTCCATTATCATTGCATTATTAACCTTTTTTGACATAAATATTTCTTGAGTGTATACTTTAGGATGAGATAATAAACTTCAAAAATATCTATATAAATGAAGAGGAAAAGAGAGAGAAACAGATTGATTTTAATATTGTGTAATAAGTTCTGGTAATAATGATATAAAAGAATAACAAAAATACTAGTTTACTTGCCTTGAGTTATTTACTTTAGTGTATCATCAGTGATTCACCTTTCAATATGTATTAATATTAAATTCCTTGAGAGTAATATAAAAGTATTATTTTATCAGGTGTAATATGATTTTTAATGTTTATGCTTTTTCCCTTCTCTTAATTGTTCCCATCAAAGGTTGTCCAGGAATACGAAAGAGCTGTTATATTTCGTTTAGGTCGATTGGTTACCGGAGGTGCTCGAGGTCCCGGAATTTTTTTCATAATTCCCTGCATTGATACATATTCCAAGGTTGATTTAAGAACAGTTTCATTTGATGTTCCTCCTCAAGAGGTAAGCGATTGACTCCATTCACCATAATGTTCACCAATTTTCCTTCATCTTTATTCTTGGTCCTTAATTTGGCTCTTCAGGAGTAAACTATAAGCTCAGTGGGCAGCAAAATTGATCGACTTCATTGATTACAAGTCAAAAGGTCGAAAAAAATTTAGACCTGATGATTGACCCCAACACTTGTTAAATAAAATGAACCATCCATTAGTCTAAAGTGGTAAATTATAAAATGGATGCACAAAAAGCACCAGCCATGATAGAAGCGTTGATAACTTTAAGAAACACCACAATTTAACTTGATGACCACTTCATTATGTTGGAATAATAATAACTAAATGTATAATTAATTAAGACATTAGATAAACTGTTAAGAGTAGACGTAATGAAAGTAGAGTTAACATGTGGTAAAGATTAATGGAGGGAATTAAGTTTGCGTCATGGTGCAATGAAAGTAACGCGCGACATTCAAAGACGATTAAAGATGATTGAAGATTATTTTTAGCCTGACAATTATTATCGTAATTATCAAAGTATTACATAAATTAGTAATTTTATTCATTCCTTTTTGACCATTACAGATACTTTCTAAAGATTCTGTGACAGTGGCAGTTGATGCTGTTGTCTATTTCCGTATTAATAATGCCATTGCTTCCGTATCAAATGTTGAAGATTATGCTCGTTCAACTAGACTTTTAGCAGCCACAACCCTTCGTAATGTCCTGGGTACCAAAAATTTATCTGAAATATTAAGTGAACGTGAATCAATTAGTCACATGATACAGTCAAGTTTAGATGAAGCAACTGAATCATGGGGAGTAAAAGTGGAAAGAGTTGAAATGTAAGTAACATTTTCCTTCATCAGCTGCTTTTTTCTTCCTCTTCCAACATCCTAAATATTCCTCTTTCTTCCTCTTCCATCAACTTCATCATTATCGCTCATTTATCATGGTGAACAAGGATGAGAATTGATTCCAGTTAGTCAAGTCATTTACAGTCATGATAATATTGAAATGGGTAAAGGAAACACAAACAAATGGCAACACCATTTGTTTTCATTCAACACACACAAAGCAAACATTTTCCAGTTTACCCTTTTCATTTTCAAGTCCCTATCATTAAATAATTACCATCATCATTCAACTCCTTCATTGATTGATAAAAATGAGCCTTATTATGTATTTATAACAATTATAACAATTTGCCAAATCATCACTTCTTTATATTCAAGGAATGGTTACATTTTGCTTTTTTGCTTCACTTAAAATTGCTTTCAATCTTCTTCTTCTTCATCTTCTTCTTTTTATCCTCCTTTCCATCAACCTTTCTTCACCATGATAATCTACTTATTCATCAATTCTGTGTCTTATTTTTAATGATGATAACAAGTTAAATCGAGGATAAACTGTTATCATATTGCTTTGGTTTTGGTTAAGTCTCGAGATTCATTCCAATTCACTTCACTTTCATTGAATGATCAGTTTTGTGAAGAAGCAACATTCTCAGAAGTTTCAGTTGTTATTGTCATCATCAGTCCTGAATCAAGTTGACACAATACAAGAGGATGATTATGATGATGAAGTTAGGATGATGGAAAGAGTTAAGATGGTGAAAGCTGAGGATAAACTTGATAGCTTCTCGGAATCCAAAACGAAGAGATTTCACTTTTATCAGATTATAATATGAGTCTACATTATTTCAGCTTTCATTAAGTCACTATAATTGTTATTATGATTCAATAAAAGGTTAGATTTGGCATCTTGTTTAGTTTATTGAAACTGAATTAGCGTCATATTAATTACTTGACTTCACTTGAAAGACTTTAGTTTTGTTTTGATTGTTTGCTATCAAGAGCAAAGGTTTCACTTTTTGTTTTACCCTTCAAATACTTTTTCACTTTATTTCGCCTTCTTCTTTCCAATTCTTTCATTGTTATTCATGAGAATGGATTGACAATCAATTTTAACTTGATTAAGTGAATCAAAGTGGAAAGGCTAAATCATGTAATCAAATTGATTTCTTTTACGGACATTTTCTTAACCTTATTATGTTAGTCTTATAATGCAAGGTTAGTTTTTGTCATTTCATTTAAAATGTAAATACAGTTTACTACAAAATAGATGCATTTATATTCCTAGCTATATTATTATAGTCAAGATTGGTAATCAAGTTTTCATCATTCAAATCAAAAGCTTTCCAATTTAGCTATTTTAAAATGAGCTGCAGGCTTTTTTGATCAGTTAATAGCGGAAAAATCAAAATTAACAAGACTTGTAAATTGAAAAATGGTGAAGTAGAAACGAGAGTTGACTTCTTACACTTCAACCTCTTTAATGGTAGTTAAATTTTAATTCAATTGTTCAATCTTGCATTCATTTGATTAGATTTTCATTTTTTGAAGCAATCAATTTTCATCTTTGGTTAAAAAATTAATGTCACTTTGCCAATGCATAAGATGGCGCTAAGGTTAACTTGATTGTTGACTAATGGTTCAAGTCTTTGTTTAAAATTGTGTTTGTTGTTTAGTTTTTAGAGAAACTAATTGTTATTTTTAACGGTTCATTGCTTAAAATATATATGGTGAAACATTTAATTGTTTGTAGAATGTTAACTAATTTTGATTGTTTTCTTTCACTTCGGTTAATAGCAAAGACGTCCGATTACCTGTTTTATTGCAACGTGCTATGGCAGCTGAAGCTGAGGCAACTCGGGAAGCTCGTGCTAAAGTGATTGCTGCTGAAGGTGAACAAAGAGCTTCTCGAGCGTTAAAGGAAGCTGCTGAGGTTATTGCTGATTCACCGGCAGCATTACAACTTCGCTATCTTCAAACACTGTCCTCGATTGCTGCGGAAAATAATTCAACAATTGTGTTTCCAGTTCCAATGGAGTTGTTTAGAGGATTTATTGTTAACCATCAAATTATTAAACAAAAAGGACCCAATCATCCGCCTGAAATATCACCGAAGGAATAATTAAACAAGCTAATGATGCTATTTAACAACCCATTACCAGATACAATACCGATGTGTATGTGCCTTCTTTCAAACTCCCAGATTACAATGGTGACAACCTGAACGATAAACAAGAGCAATTACAACAATCAATTTTCTTGAAGGGATATTTATTTGTTGATCACTTGATGTCAAACAATCAATTACATGAAATTTTTTCATCTTACAGGTTAGATTGCTATGTGAACAATCTAACCATTGCGGTTGGCCAGAGGAGATTGGTAATCCAAATAGTCTCGATTAATGGTTCTGAAGATGGAAATTTTTAACACAATTGAAATAATCTTTGATATGTCTTGTTAATGTAACCTATTTGATCTCGTTCTCAACTTTAAAACCAAATTTACATTAACAATTGTATTTCGGTGTTATCCTGGGTCAAGAAAAGAACCATTGATTGACCAGCAACTGCCAAGCAACATTATTCTCACCTTCAATCACTTTTGACTTTGGTGGACCAACTGTCCATTTAATTGTAAACCATTTATGATGTTAATTATGCTATGAAAACAAAATTGAAACTCCATAAATGATAACCTTGCATGATGATCTCAATGCCAAAATTGTTCACTTCGAAAAACAAAATGTAAAAGAGTAAAACTGATTAAAATGTTATTATTACAGATGTATGAGAAATAAACAGTGGAAAACTCATTTCATTCCCAATTTACCTTTCTAACCTTTCCTTCAAGACAATTTATCTCATAGATTTACTGAACCAATTATAATTGACTCTATTGAAATGTTTCTCTGGTTGTTGCCCATACAAGACTTGAGTCTTTGTTATAGCTTTTGAAGTTAATTGATTGATTGATTATCCTCGAGAAAAGGAAAAGTTATTCACAATTAACCAAGAAAAATAGGAGCAATGAATTAATGGTCAGCGATTATCAAAAAACGCAACCTTAAAGTGTTAATTCTCATAGAAGGTGAATTGAAATAAGATTGATGAGAAACAATGATTATCATTGATTAACCCAATCATGTTGACAATTTAAGGACATCCTTTTAGCTGATTTGTTTCATCCTAAAAGCGTTTATCAGTTGATTACATAGACATTTCACCATGGCCGTCTTTCCCATCATCATGGATCTTAAATCCATCTTTTTCTCATCTTTCAATCAATCATTGACAGATTCGTGACAATCTTTCATCAAACTCAATCAAATATTGATTGCTAAAAGTGCTATAAAACATGAAATGATAACTGAAAAGGCAGGCAAGAAGATTCATTTTAATACAGCTCATAATCTGTTTCAGAAAAGTGCAATTGGTTGTTAACAGAAAAGTTCTTGTTTCTCTTGAAACAATCAATGTTTACTTGTAGACTAACTATTCATCAATCGTCTGATTATGTTGAGCGCAAAGGCAAAAGGCTTCATCATATTTAAAAGAAAAAGGAATGCCAGGAATGCTAAACTCGATGTTCATTCCCTGAGTTATCCTAAAGGTAAACAAAATAAGATTGACTCACATCACTGCCATTATCATCACTTTCATCCAATCAAGTAAAGTTTCATGTTTATGGTGATTTTTTTTCTCTCGTTCCTCTTCTCTCACTCAGTAGTTGAGTCTAATTTTTTCAAGTGAAAATGAATTTACCCTGTGTGTGTTTGTTTGCTAATAACCTTTGGGAGTCTCAGACCTTTACTAATAGCAGGTAATATTACATGGAGAGAAGACATTAAATTTTGTATTTACATGATTCTAAGCCTTGCTTCATTTGCTTTTTTACTTTCAAAGTAACATAGGAAACTATGGTTATCTACCTGAAGCAATCATCCTTAAATTAATTATATCATCGAAAAATTATCTCATAGGAAATAGATCAAGAAGCTGAATAATTCCAATTCAATGGAGATACTGGATTGAATGAATCTTTTATCTCTTCTCTTTTTTACTATTGCTGTAGTTGGTTTTTACTGTTCCTATGGAAGCCCTGTTTTGTTAACACCAATCAACCAATTAATAAAATGTAGTATTCAGTAAATTTAGTTGCAGTTTGAAAGTGAATTTACAGTTAATTATCTAATGAAGAGCACTTTATAATGTGGATTTAAAACAATGGTGTTATAAGTAAAATAAAGCTGCTCACAAATAGTGTGGGCTGAAGATCAATAGTGATAATTTGATTATACAATGGAAAATAATTTCAAATATAATTTATACAACTATTTAATGAGATATAATTCAATTTGGAAGAGGTAAATTTACAATAGTATTTGAAAAACACAGTTAATTAACAAATTTATATATATTAGTATATATAAAAGTTGACTAAAGAAACTATAGATTTATTTGTAACTGTATTGTATAACTTGACCAATGGCTTGGATTACTTTTGGCTGCTTTCGTTTGGATCGATTTTTTCTGTACATTTAACAATTACTTTCAATCGGACTTGACAGTTGAATGTGTCCATTAGCTCTTGCCTTGCCTCAGCTGATATTCTTGCAATAGTGGCTCCTTCAGGTCCTATTATGGATGTCATTTTATTGTTTTTAGGACATAAGGCAATAATAACAATGTGAAGATTGTTCATTACATCAACTTCCCATGCTTCAACCTGGAATTTGAGTAGATAAGGAGTATCCCAATAGCCAAAATCAAGAAACTTTTCTCTCACAATTGATATGGCTAAAGATTGTGGATCTTGATTAGTAACAATGGAAGAGTTATATTTCCATGAACATGGTTTAGCTGTTGCAATCATGTACTCTCGTAAATCTTCAACACCGTCATTGGTTAAAGCTGAAATCATGAAAACTTTAGAGAAGTATGGCCAATACAGGTTGAATAAATCTTCCCGTGAACTATCCACTGGTTGAGGATCCTCGGTAATCCTTAGATGCCGTTCCGTCTCAGAAATAAGAGCATCAATTGATTTTTTGCCACTATGCTTTACAAATTTCTCCTTTCCTTCAATCGATTTTCCTTCGATAAAGCTTCCAGTTAAGCGATTAACTACTTCCAATAAGATTGATTTTTTGTCGAGTTTATCCACTTTGTTTAAAACAAGAATTGACTTTTTATCTTTGTGTTTAGTCAATATTTTGAAAGTTTCATGGTCAAGAAAATTTCTATAGCGCTTTTGCGACACATCCACAAGAACAGCGATTAAATCAGCAACTTTGGCAGAAAGTCTTGGGTTATGGTACATGGTATGTTCAAGATTAAAGTCAACACAATGTTTTAATTTCACTAAACCAGGAGTATCCAGTAGCTCAACTTGAGTTGATCCTTCATTGAAAACCCCGATGATATTTTTTCTCGTTGTATGTACTTTTCGAGATACTGAGGTCACTTTAAGGCCAGTCAACTGATTGACTAAAGTTGATTTACCAGCATTGGGTAGGCCAATTATGGCAACTCTATTTAATTTTGGCTCCTCGGGTTGGTCAACTGGCAGCGATTTACGTCGTAGATATTCCTCTTTGCTCTTTGGGATTCTATTATAATAAAGATCATCATTGGTTGTGTCAGATAACAATCTAATAAAAGAGGCAGAAGATCTTTTCAGGTTAACTAGAAGATGAAATCGGATTTCTGAGATTAACGAAGTCATTGACAAATTTAAAAACAAACAGCAACACAAAAATAATGAATTAGAGAAACAATTTGACTAAAGCATGCATTGGCATGACAAAAATAAAAACAGCAGGTTGTTACCATAGCAACCCTCCAGCAGATATTTTCTTTCAAAACATTTAATAAAATTAGATTATCGCTTTGTTTTCAAATATTTTTTTTTAAAGTTTTCATCTTATAAATTGTTTCAGTCCTACAAATAGGTGCTGTCTTATTCTGTTGTGATTGTGATATAACATCCCTTTATTGTCAAATTCATTTGACTAACATTTATCATAGCTTCTGGTGCTTTGTCCTATTCATCACCATAACATTGCTTGAAATTCATTCCAATGACCACTTCACACGAAGCTACATTAAAAGCTTACCAGAAATGGCTTAAGGATGCAATCAAATCTATTACCGACAATTATTTGGAAATTATTAAATTGGTCAAGATCGACAATGAAGGATTGCCCAACAACTCTACGCCAGCTCGAGCTCAAGAGCATTATGAAGTTATTGTAAGAGCAGCCAATATGGTTAGGGCTCAAGAATCGTTAATCAAACTCATCTACCAGCTTAAGCAGTTTTATATAATCAATGATTTCAAGCTCATTAATAAAGCCATCTCTAATGAAAGCAAAAATTTCAAAGCTGATGAAATTGATATGAAGTTGACCAACCTACGTAATGAAATAACTGCAGAACTGATTGTATTAGAAGATGAATATTACAATTCTATGTACAAATAAACTGATTATTTGTTTACAATATTGACTCGATTATTCAATAATTTCAAACATTTTTTTGTTAATTTGCATTTACATAGTAAGATAAGCCAGTTCTAAGATTTTACTTTAATTTCGAGGGCTTAATAAAAATCAAGTATCAGACTTTACAAAACTACAGCTCGAAGCAAGTTTATATGACACAAATTGTGAACCTAAAATATACAATTCTGATCAATTTGAAAAGTGTTTGAATTAATTCGTTTGAAAAATGCAAAAAAGAGAATGATAATTCTATGCAAGTATTTGATATAAGAAATAATCACAATTTAGTTAACGATGATGGCAAGATGGCCATAATGATGTGCTCATCGCCCAAGGTTATGATAAACTCTCTAGTATCAATTATTTAAATAAGATTATCATTTCTTCCAAACATTTTTCTAGAGCCAATCAATTCAAACACTTTTCAAAGTTATTTAAATCATCAACAATCATTGAATTTCATCAGGGACTTTTCTTTGCCACATTCAATGCCACTGGAGTCTCGGTTACACTTGCACCACCAAATAATCTAATATCCTTTTTAAAGGTTTCATTTATGTATTTCTGTAACTTTTGAACGGCTGGAGGATTCCAATCAATTTTATCCCAAATCTGCGAAAGGACAAAAACAAAAACAAGACTGGACGAGCCCCATCGTAATTTTAGAAAATGATTTGACAATCTGTGATTACGGCTTCGCACAGAAGCAAGACCACCACCTATGGCCACCAAACCACCGAGCATTCCTTTTAATAAAAGATAGAATTATCAGTAGGTGCATTGAAAGGTATCTAATAAATATAAAACTTACCAGCAACAATAATTGGGTTTCGACCTAATTGGTTCAGAAAATTACGCTCTCCTGAAATTCTGGGAAGCTGTGAATATTCAATCCCTTCTTTGATCTCTAACCACTCCAAAGGTGATTTTCCTGATGATTTATCATATTCTCCAGTTGAGTCCGCTTGGATTCCATTTGTTTTTTCAGTACTATTATTAGCCATATTTAAAAAAATCAACTTAATAAACAGAAAAAGACTTGAAATCTCAAAAACTGTACTTAAACAATTGTTTCTCCAGCTGACATAAAAGCGCCCAATTTGAATGATTGTCAGGGATCGAGAACTCAAAAAGCTCTCTTTGTTCCTTCGATAATCAAAAATCAATCAAGTTTGGATTTGGGATGAAATCAATAAATAAACAAATTAATAAAACATTCAACTTTAATTAATCAATTTTTAATATCATCAAACATTAATTCTGGTAAAAAAGATGAAATCAAATAATGCGCTCTTTGCTGAGTCAACTCCTCTTATTTTGATCTTGCAATGAGATGGGTTTGAATTGAAAACCTGAGAATTATATTTAAGGTAAATACTATTTATTAAATATCACAATCTTTGCTATTTGTGTAGTTTATTTAAATCAATTGACCTGATTTGTGATAACCTTTGTTTAGAAATTAAAACTTCGTTAATCTCTATCAAAAACAATGATTGATGAAGTGTTGTTGGATTTACTGCACATTGAACTGGTTAATACTTTAGTAACACCCTCATCAAACAAATCGGTAAGATCTTTTTACATTTAATATTTAAATTCAAATTAAAATGGTTCTTTGATTATTTTTCCAGGAATTAAACGTTACTGAGTTGGAGAATGTTGGTCATAGCACTGGTTATAGATTAATTGAAAGGTAAGTTGTTTTGTTTGAAATTCAAATTCCACTCGCTTTCATCTACAGACTTAATTTATTTTAATTTTAATTTGTTATAGAATAACCAAAGACTCACATCGATTCAAAGATGAATTGGATATAATGAAATTCATTTGTAAAGATTTTTGGTCTGTTATTTTCAAGAAACAAATCGATAATCTAAGGACAAATCACCAAGGAATCTATGTTTTACTTGATCATCGTTTCCGTTTTATCAGTAACATTTCATCGTCTAAACAGTTTATTGAATTAATGCCCAAATATTTGGCATTTTCTTGTGGTCTGATTCGTGGAGCTCTGGGAAACCTCGGGTTCAATGCTATTGTGACAGGCGAAGTTGTGAAACCTCCATCATGTAGATTTCAAGTTCAAATAAACAAAACATGATCATGTGTTTGTCTTAGGAAAATTTTATAACCGGACAAATATCTTTATTATCAATCCTGGAACAATGTATTGTCATCAATTAATAGCATATTTTATTTTGTAACCATATTCTATTTGAATGAAGAGAATCCCAAAATCCTAGTCTTTTCATCTAATGAGCTATTTGTTGAATTACAAAGTGGGACTTAATGCTTTATACGCCGTTTATCTTGTCTGATTGCCTCAATTGTCAATAAAACTGGAAAATAATTTATATAATTTTCGTCTCTTTTATTTCAAATACTTAATGATAATCAATTAATACTTTTCAATGAGCTGAACGTGTATGCACTTTACGTGCACACATACCAGTAAATATTGAGTACTTTCTAAATTTATAAACAGTTCTGTTGATTTCAGTCATTGGTCTTAAAAGTTAGAGCCTCAATATTTCGGTAATGGCATAACCTAAAATCATTATTCTTCGATCTAACATCAGGTTTTATTAAGAACTTTTACTTATTGAAATAGTAAAGTATCACAGATGTTACTAAAAAAGTTATAGCATTGTACAGTACCAGTCAAAGAAACTGTCAGTGTCTACATCAACATTCAAAGTTGCATATTTTTTGATCTACTTGTAATAAGACCATGATTGTACTCGTATTTTATTTTCAAACATTCAGGGATAAAATAGTAGTTTTTTTTGTGAGTTAATCAAGAAAATTAGCAAATTAGAGCTGATTTAAATCATAGCCTCTGTTGAAATTTGGTGAAAAATATTGGAAGTTTGTTTTAGAGAGAACTAAATAGAGTTTAACTGCGAAAAAAAGTTCTAAAGACTCTCTGACTATAGAATATTCAAATTCTAAGATAAAAATTTAATTATTGTTCAGATTTTGATTGCAATCAGTCTGCGAATATGAAAATCATGGAAAATTTAGTTGATCCGATAGATGGCGTTCCTAATTGATCGCTCATTTTGGCCTTATTTTATGGTTCTCAGAACTTTTAAATGATTTTTCTTAAAATTTTTAAGACTATTAAGCACAAATGATCATTGAATACTGAAATAATTTTGAATTTGTGCCATTTTTAGCATCTCAAAAATTCTAAAATTTCAACTCAACTTTTTGCTTGAACGAAGCTTAGCTTTGAACGGCCAACAAGACTCGAAGATTACAATATTTTCATTTTTCAAATATACTATTCGTTAGTCTAAACAATAATTTATCTTTTTCTAAAATATCAAAATAAAAAACTTCAAGATTATTCTGTAGCATTGAAAAATCTAACTGACAGTTTCTTTGACCGATACTGTATTACTTATGCTATCATATTTCAGACTTTATACATAAAGTTAAATGGTTACTCAAACACAAACCTTAATTGTTAGAAAGATATTGATTTTTAAATGCATTTATTCATATTATATTAAAGTCCATAATAAAATCTAATGTTTGGTCAAAGAATGATGATCGTAGGTGATTCCATTCCCGAAATATCGTGGCTCAAACTTTTAGGTCCAAAGGCCAAAATCAAGAAAACTGTTGGTAAATTGAAAAAAAGATTCAATCCATGAGGTGTACAAATAATTTTAATGGACCAATACTAAGTTTTAGCTCTCTAATCAGGACGGTCAAAGAAATCGGTACATTTAACTGAAAATCGAACTTGATCTGTTTTACGGAAACAGAAAATGTTATTTCTTAAAATAAGATCATTTTTAGGTTTGCAATCAGCAGAAACATCACTAAAATAAGATCCGTGTAAAAATTTGCTTATATGGCTTAATAAAAGGCAATCGAAGTTTCAACTGTGACCTCAATTTTCTAGAGAAATATCCATCGGATGAATTATTCAATGGCACCAATAGACTCACCTTTTATTTCCCTACAAACTACTCAAGTTTCAACTCTGTACTCAAAACTTCGAGCCTTTGGGCAGCATTCTCTGATTGAGGATCAAAAGTTACGTGAACAAAATGAGTTTCTTGAAAAAATCTGGTCACACAACTGCACAAAAGGCTATCGAAGTTTTAACTTTGACCTCAATTTTCTAGAGAACTGTTCATCAAATGAATTATTTAATGGTACCAATAGACTCACCTTTTGTTTCTCTACAAACTTACCAAGTTTAAACTCTCTACTCAAAACTTCGAGCCTTTTGGCAGCATTCTTTGCATTAGGTTTGCAGGTTTAACCAGAAAATTGGTTTATTTGCAAAGCAATGAGTTGAGATGCATTTGTTTTGTTGAATAAGGTGTTTCGCTTGCACTTAAGACCACAATATCATGGTTCAACAGCGTTCATATCGTGATAAAGTTGGTGGGTTTGTAGAGATGTAAGAACTGAGTCGATTGATGGTAAAAGAATTATGACTTTAAGGGATGCCATTCTCGAAGTATCGAGTCTCAAAGTTTTATGACCAATGGCCAAAATCAAGAGAATTGTCGATAAATTGAATAATTTAAACAATTCATGTTGTGCCCAAACAATTTTAATGGGCCAATAGTAAGTTTCAGGGCTCTAACTTGCACAGTGACAGAATGCGACAGGTTTAATTAAAAATCGAACTGATCTGTTTTGAAGAAAACAGAAAATGTTATTTACCAAAATATGTCCATTTTCTGGTTTCATAGCAAAATTTACATCGGCAAAATAAGTTTCTTGAAAAAATCTGGTCACAAAACTGCACAAAGTGCGATCGAAGTTTTAACTTTGACCTCAATTTTCTAGAGAACTGTTCATCGAATGAATTATTTAATGGTACCAATAGACTCACCTTTTGTTTCCCTACAAACCTATTAAGTTTCAACTCTTTACTCAAAACTTCAAGCCTTTTGACAGCATTCTTTGCATTAGGTTTGCGGGTTAAACCAGAAAATTGGTTTATTTGCAAAGCAATGAGTTGAGATGCATTTGTTTTGTTGAATAAGTTGTTTCGCGTGCATTTAAGACGCAAATATCATAACCCAACTGCACTAATGGAAAGATATCAAATTGCATCGATTTATTAATTAGTGAAAGATTAAATTGGTAAAAGAATTATGACTGTGAGTGATGCCATTTTCGAAATATCGAGGCTCAAAGTTTTATGACCAATGGTCAAAATCAAGAGAAATATCCATGAAATGAAAAAACTATTCATTCTATATCATGCAACAACAATTTTTGTGGGTCAAACTTAAGTTTGAGCTCTCTAACATTTATGGCCACAGAATACGGAAAGTTTACTTAAAATCAAGCTTGTTCTGTTTTATAGAAACAGAAAATTTCATTTCTTAAAATAAGATTATTTTCAAGTTTGGCATCAAAAGAAATATCAATAAAATTAGCTACATGAAAAAATCTGCTACTGTAGGTGTACAAATAGCGTTCGAAGTTTCAACTTTGACCGCGATTTTCTCGAAAACTGTTGATCAGAGAAACTTTCAAATTGCACAAATAGACTGAGTTCTTACGGTTCTACAAACTAACATAATCTAAATTTGAAAGAAAGAAATTTTCCACCGTTTTGCCCATTTGTTTCAATTTGTGTGTTTTTAGTGACAAACAACTAACCGATGCACAGAATGTCTACATTTTAGAAATTTTAACATAAAATTAATGTTGAAGTTGATCATAATTAGTTAAATGTATGTTATATAAGCGAATCAATTAGAAATCCTATTTTTACAATACTTTTTGTACAAAACTTTTACCAGCAAAAGTGTAACTTTAATGATTATGTTTTGAACAGTTAGAATTAGATTCCCAATTTGAACGGTGATTTGATGTTGAGCAAGTTTCTTTCATGATTGATCGGCTTTAAATATGGATTTCAAATGAACAATTTATTCATTGATCCATCTGAATAGCCTTGAGAGCTTTGTTTCACTCGGTTGTCATTGAAAGCAATACAAAGTAATGTCGCGTTAATGGTTGGTTAGTTTACACGTGAAGTGAACAAGGTTTCATGTTACACTCACAAGCATTATGAATGAATAAACACTTAGTTGGATAAGATTTTTTTTATTAATTTTTTTGAAAATTAAATTAGAAACAAAAGTAATTCTAAGTTATATTACAATGGCAGCAGTTAAACTTTTTTTTAGATTTCAAGGGTGGCTCAGGTGTCATTTGTTCTGGACACATGATGGCTAATCTGGAATCTTCATTCCTAAACGATTCTTTAATCTCTATCTCAGTTTTGATCATCTTAAGAAAGGCTAAAGCAGCAATCCGAGAGAATAAATTTTGAACATTTTTACCAGTCAGACTGGACACGGACCAATATTCAGCTTCAAACTGTTTAGCCACTTGGGCAGCTTCCTTCTCCAAGACACGACATTGAGCTTCACTGATTAAATCCTTCTTGGATCCAACCAGAAAGATGAGCAACCTTTCCTCTTGGTTAACCGTTAAAACATCTCTAACAAACTCTTTCAACTCATTAAGAGTATGAGGACGGGACAGGTCAAACTGCATGATGACGATCTGAGCATCTCGATAAAAGCTTTTGGTTACACTGTTGTACCTTTCCAATCCTGCTGTATCCCAAATCTATTGTGATATACAATAATAAAAGCATAATAAAGCATTAATCATATGGCAAAGTTAAAGCATACTGTTTCTGTTTAGACAAGATCACTATCATTCATACAAATATCATTAGTGATGAATGTAACTTGAAAGCAACTTACGTATGTTCACTGAAAGGAAGGGAAATAATGAAGATGAAGAAAGTTAACAGATAAGCTCAGGTTCTTCAAGTTAATAGCAATTGAAAAGGGTAAATCAGTGATTGTCATTGAGTCATAATGAAAATAAGGGAAGTAAAGATATATTGAACAAGAGCATGATTACTGGTTGTTGATTTAGGATTAATACATTATTATTTTAAAGGTTTACCAGAAAAAGTTGTGGGAAACAAAAAAGCAACTTATAAGGTTAACAGCGAGTGGAAAACAAAAAGTGAAATGCTTCAATATGTTTATACATGAAACATTAATTATTGATATAACCTAACAATCAACAGGTGAGTAAATGTTTGCCAATAGCCAGTTAAAGCTATTTGTTTAGTTGAAGGATACAATCATCATCTCAATGAATATGAATCTAGTTAAATGGTTGGAAACAAAGGTTTTTTTTACCTGAAGACGAAAAGGTGTCCCAAGAACTTCAAATTTTTGTACCCAATAGTCAATTCCAATGGTTGGTCGTTGCTTCAATCCATATCCATTGGCACCAAGGCGCCTGATTAAACTAGTTTTACCCACTGAAACTGGTCCAATGATGATGCACTTGGCCACTCTTAAAGGTATCTTACGGTCAGGGGAGAGTATTTCATTTTCAATGTATTGTTCAACTTCACCATCAAAACAAGTATTTTCATAGGGAGTAATGTTATTGTCATAGGCCCAAGGTACAAGTGGAATCAATATGGAGTCCGTTTCCATTGATCATCAAGGTTAGACTGATGTTGATAATGGTTGGTGGTGACAATGATTAGACACTAATGAGAGAGATGATGGATGATGATTGGATGACCTGGAGGAAACAATGAAACTGTCAAATGTGTGTCAAAAAATGGTACAAAAACAAAGTTGCAGTGAAAATGGTTTGGATGATAAAAATAATGGTAAGGAACCAAGTCGATGGGTTTGATGTTGTTTTTGGCGTTGATGATGGCAATGGTGATGATGTTATTGTTGTTGATGATGATGGAGAAAACAGTCGACTAGAAAAATTGAACAGAATCAGGCCTTAACAGCTCGGGAATCCCGCTTAACTTTGCAGCTTAACTTTACAACTACGCATCATAATTATGATTTAGTTTTTCATTTCTCTCATCTTCATTAAACTTTCTCTTCTTCCAGTCTCTCCTAGCAACTGATACTCGACAAAACTACCTAGAAACCAGATAACTTAATAGCTAATCAAAGTAATTATGTAAAGAGCCTTTCACAATCATCATCTTAAACATCTTCTTCTTCTTCCTTCTCATGGAGCTGTCTATGTGAGGGAATCTATTGTTTATTGCAAATGTTTTCTTGACTTGTATTTTGAATCAATCCAATGGATTCAATTTTGATAAATTTCCTAATAATAATGGTGATCATTTTTCACAATTAACTCACCAATTTCCATATTTAGCCTTTTTTGTTGCTTAATTATATTGTAACATTTTAATGTTAATGTGATTCGTTTGTGTTTTGTTTTGTTTACGCTTCAAGTTTACAATTTTTTACACTAATTTTCATGCAACCAATTTGGGTAAATCGATTAAATCATCTCTAGAATTAGCTCATTACGATTAATTTTCAGCTTAAATTTGGGAACAGATTTTTGTTCAAAACAAACTTGCTGTTTGTCTGGCTGTCTAGTCGCGTCTTTTGAGTAATTTTATCAGCAATCATGACAATAGGATAACAACAAACACACATTATTGATTGCAATAGCACAATATTTAACCTTGTTTTTGAATTTTCACAATTATGTGTGTTCTTAAGCAGCTATCTGATACCTTTTCATGTTCTTTCATTTCAAGATCATTGATGATCATTGAAAAACACAGCTAAATAAAGGAAAAATATTATCAAAAATAATTAATTTTGCTCGAATCATGCTTGGTGAATTTGAATATGAGTGTGACTTTGTGAAACTGACAAAAGAATCCATTTCAAGTGGGAAACAATGACATCGACTACTAAATTTTGAGAGGTAACATATTATGAGCGGCATTGAACTAAACTGAATTGTAACATTAAGTTATCTTAGCTTTGCTTTATTTTGGTACGAACTAAAATTCAAATTTAATTTTATTCTATCCATTAAGTAATTTATAATCTAGACTCTGTTGAATAATTTCAAGTTACTAATTTTTTGTGTTACTGTTTTAAATTGCCAATTTTGTTTCCCAGAGAAATTTCAGTCAAATGAAGCTTAACATGCAATTATAACAAAAGGCAAGGTTACATTTTTTAGGTGAAATAATGCTTTACGTTTGATTTAAATAGATTTTAAACAATTTTATATTTCTAGATTACAATATTTATAAATTTAATTACATCATCTAAATAGAAAATATTTAGCTAAAAAATAGTCATAATAATTTTTGGGTTAATGTGGAAGGCGATGATCTAACAAGTAAATTACTTGTAAGTAGTATTTGAAAAATATTGCTACAAAAAATCAGTCGAAATCATTTGAATCTTCATCTTCATCTGATTCTTCATCGGAATCACATCTAACAGATCTTATTTTGTTCAACGCAAACATTAAATTTTGAGCGACTTGACTGGCTTCACTGATCTCCTTTGTAATGGGCTGGCATTTTTTCAATCTGTCACGGGCATTTAATATTTCTGAAAGATCAATAGTATTGGATGAACAGTTATCAATGGATTTTGTCCGCAAACTTTTTTCCATACACGATTCGAATGCTTTATCTCTTTGTTGTTTAGAGAGCGAACAAAATGGAGCAGGAGGAGGAGGTGGAGGTGGAGGCGGTGGCGGTGGCGGCGGTGGTGGTGGACAAACAATAGGTGGGATTGTCGAGGGAGATGTTGATGGTTGATTACAAGATGAAGAAGGCTGATGTCCACTATTGACGATCAATTTATTTACGTTGGACTCGGATATAGAAGGCTTAAGATATTCCACATCATTAATCACATTATTTTTTGTACATGAGGCTTCTTGATCAATATGATCAAGTTCAAGATCCGGTGGAGGAGGTAATGGAGTATCTTCAGAAATTTTAGTATTATCAATCCATGGGTAAGGTGGTAAATTTTGATTAGGATTTGCTGGTTTGTCTTCAAAAAATTTATCGTCATCACAGAAATTTTTACTTCTCATTCGGAATGTTTTTAGCCTTTGTAAGGTTTTCTGACGAATTTTTTTGTGAATTTCTTCTCTTTTCTTGTCTCCTTCATTTGAATAAAGTGTCTTTTTAGTAATTGGTTTTACTTGGGTTTCGCTAGAACTTTCTTCTAATGTCTGGTGATCTGTATCTTCCTTCAGCTGCTCTTCTGGTTCTTTTGGTTCAGTCAATAAAGCAGTCTTTTTGTTACGAAGATGAGCGCGACGACGAGCTAATAATTGGCGTTTTTCCTTCAATAAATCAATTAATCTTGATTTACTATATCTATTGTTTGAGGGATTATCATCAGCAACAGGATTAGCATTTTGAGCCTCCTCAACTGCGTCATGAAAAATATCATCATCTATATCTTCTGAATTCTCCAATAAATCAAGCCTTTTCTTGAGTAACTTTTCTTCCTCCATAAGAATTTCAAGCCGCGTATTGATTATATCAAGCTCTGCTCGCTTTAGTTCTTGTTCAAAAGTAGATTTTTCACCAGCATCAAGTGACTTAAAATACTTCTTCAATTGATCTCGATGATATTCTTTAGTTGCTTTCACCGTATTCATGAGTTTCAAAACTTCTTGATTATGCAAAATTTGTAATTTTAACATCCTTACAGGGCCTCCTTCAAGATTAAAATTTAGTTTTCCAAAACGCTGTTGGTCTTCTTTCATACGAGTTATTTGACTGGAAATGAGTTCAACGACTTTTCGATAATATTCTTGATATAGATGCTGTAGAGCACCATTCGCACTTAAAAATTGGTCATTATATTCCTCTAACTCTTTCTGTGATTGGACTTTAACACGATTTCCAAGATCAGGATCAATAATACGACTCTTAGCTTGCTTGATGTGATTATGAGCCATTTCTCGTAGTTGCAGAAAAGGTTGTAGCTGGAAATTATATTTTTCCGAGATGGCAACACACAACTCAGATATTGCTTCATCTTCCAGTTTGTAAACAGCTACTAACTCTTTCATGTTTCGAGCTCGATCTCGATATCTTAAAACGTCCTCCAGGTCTCTGAGAGAGCTTTGCACGACATTCTCGTAGCCTTTCAATCTTAACTCTTGGATGTCTTCTTCGAAATCACTCAAAGGATCGTTGTCATCATCAAATAGAAGAGCCATAAGAAGTCCCTTTCCAACGATTGATAATGCTGATTCGAGGTAGTTTTCAATTGCATTACATGTTTCTGGGTCAACATCCTCCTGAGCTCTAAGAATATAATAACTGAAAAAGTCAGTTGACATTTGTGAAGAATTGTTAGTGAAATGAAACCCAATAAACCATTAAGTTAGTACGATTTAGGAAAAGGAATTGTAGGAACGAGAGGTCAAATCTTGCGAGTTAAAATGTACCAAAACACAATAATCTAGGGCTTTGACGTGAAAATGTTACGATTGATGTTATGTTACAGACATAAGATATAACTCCAGCTTATTTACCTAAAGGTTGCCAAAAGATTTGGAAAAAATCCTTCGGAGACGTCGAGATTCGCTGGAAAATGAGCATCAAGAATTGGATGCACAATTTTCAGCTGATTATGAATTGCTCTCAGAGATTGTACACTGTAAATTGAGAAAAAAAGTTAGAAATCGGTAAGTGTTGCTTTGTTCAAATATTTTATCGAGATTGTAAGTAATCACGAAAAAAGTAAAATTACAAACCTAATACAGCAGGCCATAGATTTAGGCTTGATATCACTTGCCTTACGACTTCCTTGAATACATGTTATTGCTAGTTTTTGCTCAATTGAATTATAAGCAACAAGAAATTTTATTTTACTCGAATCACCAAAAGTGAAATCACCTTCGTTCAAAAATATATCACGTTTTACTGCAACCCAGTCATCTAAACTATTAAAATGGTCCATAATTGATCTATTTACACAATTAAAACTACAATCAGACACATATTGAAATGACTTAATAAGAAAGAAAAATTGAATGCAAAAAATAGCTGCAGCCGAAAACAAGAAACATAAACAAAACAATCTTTCGTTTTCTTAAGGGACCGTTGAAATATTTACGCTTGATGAAAGGTTCAAACATTAAAGATTTTCATTGTGCTCAATCAAATTGATTCGTAAGATTAATCAATTCAAATTTTTTGGATTGAATAAAAATACAGTGTCACAGGAACAGGTCATGCAAATAACGTAAATGTAATGCATGGGCGTCTTTTTGTTTTCACTCCAATGAACAATGAGATGAGACAGAAAACACTGAATTTGAAGTGACAAGAAAATTTGAAATAAAGAAATGAAGATTATGGATGATGATCTTGTTTGATGGACAAGTTTTAAAATGATTTTGGATAAAATGGATGCAATTGATTTGATGATCAAACACAAGGTTTTTGGTATACAATAAATTGAATCAGATACCTTACAATATACCTTTTTATTCCCAATGTCAACTCAAATTATGGTAATCATCAAGTCAACTGTTCTGAATTATACACAATTGAACGGTCTAATGTATCATCGACAGTTGTGTCATTAATCGGTTCAAACAGGATTCCATAACTTTTTGATTCAATTAAAGCACGATAAAGTCATTCTCAGCTCATCTCAGCCATTTCTGTTAACTAGCCAGTCTATTTGAAGGATAAAAATGTGAAATTACAATAAGAAATATTTTACCATTAGTAGTTCAATAGGTTTTAATGTTGATGAAATTTCATTCCAAGTTGATCCGATAGAGTCTGACAGGAACACTTTAACCAGAAGAAGAAATTCAAACTTGGATAAAAACAAAGTTGCATTATTGCTTGTAAGTTCATCTCCATTTCTTGTGTCTCTGGATAAATTATTCATTTTTCTGAATCTACTTTATGTACAGAATTGCAATTCAAATCCATCTTTACCCCAATAAATCCTCCTGAATTTGAATCTTTTGCTGCAGACAGAAAAAAATATACAAGATTTCCCATGAATCGAATTCATCAAAAGATATATTTTCGGTATATTCTGTGTTCATCATACTGTTTGAAGAGTCCATTGAACTATTTATTTTTTTACTTTTTCTAGTATGATTAACATTTAGCCAGTAATCATACTGAACTATAGCAGCTATTTATTTATGGATCATGAAAAATAGAGCATTTACACAGAACTAATGAAAACTGGAGATTTCTTCCAAGAAAATGCTTCTTAATCTCAAAATCAATCACCAGCCAGATCTTTCACATTCCCAATTTACTCAAGTTAAATGAATGTAACACCGCGAATATAATTATTAGCAGAATCGAGAACAGCTTAATCCATATCTGCAATAATTACAACGGCAATTCCAATTGTAACTTCTGTATCAACTGACACATCGAGAATAAGCATAACATTAACAATGTAACATTAAGATTGTAAGATCAGTTGTAACATCAAATGGTTCAGTTGAATTACGTTATTTTTGTTCCAGCAAGGAAGTCGATTTTGATTGATTTATTGAATTTTAAGATTCAGTATCAGCCCTGGAACTTTAAATATGAACAGAATGGATTGTTCATCTTATCCTTTGTTTGTTTTTCAGATGAATAGATGAATAAGCAGGATTTGGTGTAAAATTCAGCTCTCTAAACGTTTCCAGGGAGCATTATTGATCTCAAACTGAACACATTTTAAAGTCTTTACAAACTCTTGATCAAGCTTACACAAATTATTAAAAATTAATGAGCCAAGAGTTGAATTCTTTTAACCAGCCAGAAACATTAATTATCATCTATACCAAACCCCTTTATTCTGCATCATGAATCATATGATATTTTTTTATTAAGATTAAGAACATGAATAGGGAAAAATGAAAAAAATGAAATGAGTTACGCGATGTTAACAAAATCTATAACAAAGCCTTTCAAAATAGGCAACTAAACTTACCGTTACATGTAGCACAAAATTATTGTAGTATTTATTGTATTGTTACCAATTATACTCCATCCATCGAAGAGGCTCTGTAATTAAGGATCAACCTCATAAGATTAGAAACAAAGAGAAACAAGATTAGCAATAGCAATGGATTAACTGTTGGTATTAGTGTTTCTTAAAAACTGTGAAAAATCCAAAATATAACTCACCCAAAACCTAACGGTTAGATGATTAGACCTGGACGGAAACTAGATGATTAGAAGCACGCTGGTGACCATAGTTATAAATAGATACAAAGTAAGTTACTTAAACCAATAACATAAATCGTTAATAATGAAAAGATGATATAATTATCCGTTAGATTAGTTGACTTGATGGTTTCCCTCGTCATCTGTTCAACAGATTCTGTTGTAAGACTCCCAGAAAGGGGTAATCTCCACATCACCGTCTTTAATGGAAATGTGTCAATGGTGAAATAAATCTAATGTGCCTAATTGATTTCATTTATCATTGATAAGTAAGCTGACTAAGATAATGAGCTAATTATACAATTGGTTGAATGATATAAAATATCATTATATTAAATGCTTTAATGTCCCCACTTCCCATCAATGAGTTGCTAGCAATTAATCTTTTGATTGTATCGATTGAGAAGCTTACAAACATATTTGCTACAATTGTTTCAAAATTTATGTTTTTTTACCTTTTTTCACAAATATTGAAAATTCAGTAAATAATCAGATGGAATTGATTGATTTTAATCAAACCAATATGAGAAATGGGACTTCTAGCTCACATCAAACCTTTTCAATAATATTTACTCAAATAAAATGCAGAAATACATTACCTTTAACCTTTGAAATGAAATAAAATGAGAAGCTACTGTTGAAACCAAGTGAAAGTTATTTATCATTTTTGGGTACAAAGAAAAATAAATGAAAAGTGTTCAAATATTGTCAATATTTAAACCCAAATAATATAAAAACGTACAAAACCTTCAATTTCATTGTAAACTTTAACCATTTGACTTTTTTTCTCGCCTCCAGATTGTATCATTATAACAATAAATGTATTCAAATGATTGAAAATCTCAATCATCATCAAACAAAACACAAATATTAATCATGATAAGATATTTTTTCCTGTTGACTAAATTCACTGAATGTTTACAAATTGAACCCGAATCTGAAAAAAAGAAACAATTATAACAAGATATTAAATGTTGAGCAAAACATTTATCTAAATGTTTCATATTCTCAGTTAAGAGACAAATCCATATTGATATGATTAATAATTGAATCAATCTCTTAATCAAAAGGTATTTTGTCAATACAAATTAATGTATAAATCATAAATACACTCAAACATCAATTTGTTTCCCTTTATTCACCAAGGTATATGATAAAGGCACGCCAAAGTGTAGAGTCCAGTAATGATTATGTTTTCATATGCATGGAATGGCTATATTGTTGTTGTTGTTTTTGCTTCCACCAATTCAAAGCTTACCATGAACAACCAAAGACGATAAGCTAAGAAGGAAAAAGAAACAAGAAGAAAAGCTTAGTAAATAAAGGTATTGAACTAATATCTAAGTAATAGTCAAAGTATTAATAATCTTAGCCTGAGAAACATTTTTTCTTCACCTCATCAATCTTATTTTGCATAACCATCAAAGCATCAGAACCTAAAATCTTTCCATAAGTTAACCTTTTTCCTCTTTCTTACCATGTAATTTCAACTGAACCCGATATCATATAAACAATAACAATAATATCATGGTATTACCCTTCCGGTTAGATTAATACTGGCAATAACAATGGTTGATGACAATATTAGCAATAGCAATATAAGAGTATCAAAATGTAATCATTTGAGTCTCCAAAGTTGTTATTAACAGCATATTAATACATTTATCTGTCTCTGTGTTGCCTCCTCTTCATTGACTCGTCTCTTTACTGCTTGTTTACATATGTTTTATCCTTCATCGTTCAATGGAAACATCATTGACTCTATTAACATCGGTAACCTGAAAGAGAAAGAAAAAGAATGATTAAATGGTTTAAAAAAGGTCTAATGGACTGAACTTTACTTGGTTACCAATGGAATCATTTCAATAAGTAAAGAAGGAAAGATTACTGGATTGAAACAGTGAGTGTTGATTTTTTGCCAGTTGACAGATTAGTTGGTGAATATGATGAAGGTAAGATTTGCTGAAAGGAAGGAATAAGTATGTTAGAAATGATTTCCGTCTTCATCGGAATAGAAAAATATAACCGATGAGGGGAAAAATGATAAAGATGATGATCAAGTTGTGTTGCTTGGTGAGTTCTGGTAAGAGGTAAAGGAAGAGAGGGTAAAACTCATCAACCTCTTCTGATTCTTAATCAAGATTAATGGAGTAAAAGGAGCGGGAGTGAAATACGGAGGAAGATCAAGATGAAGTTTAAGTAAAAGGGATAAGTGGTAAACAGGAATGAGTATGAAATCATCTGATGATGATTTCAGATCTTTATGATGTTAGATAAGAAGGTGAAAGGATAGAGTGAGTGAGTGAAAACCATTTATGGCAAGGGAAGATGAGAAATGAAAAGAATGGAAACTGATTTACTTTAGTAGTAAATTTTGATTACACTGGTTAACCCAATAGTTTAGCCATTGGGTTAAATTATTTTTGAAACAAAAAAATCATTTTAATCTTTTTCTCTCAACGTTAACCACACCTAGAAGATAATGTTCAACACTTACATTCATATAAATATGTCTCGATTGGGAGTGATACAAGATTATCATCTAATCCATTCAAGATTTAATATACTTATATCAGTTAATGTTGAACGTTGAAAAAGCACAAATGTTCAAATAATCTAATGTTAACTTGCTAATAACTTGATATTTTCCTCTCCTCAAAAATCCTTATTAGAAACTAAGCTTTTTAGATCAACATTGCACTGGCTACAAATGAAACATTTGAACAATCAATTTTTAATCAACAGCATTCATGGGATTGTTAACGTTGAAAGATTAAAATGATGAAACCAGAATCTAAATGTTGAATCAGATCCATTGGTGGTGAAGCGAGTTTCCTTTGGTTAATTGTTGAGATTTGGATTGTATTCAGGACCATTTTGTAATGTAAGGTAATCTTTCTTGATCATCTTGTGATATTAATTGTTGTCTCCTGTTATCCATAGACATCAAAAATTCAATTCATGCCATAACAATAATGATAAACTGGTGATGGGTAAAGTTAATATCGTCATGGCTAGGTAAGGCTGGAGAGCAAAATTGTAATGGAATTCTTGACCAATGGTGAAACCTGTTCCTATTTTGATATTGAAATAATGAAATGAAATAGAATGAGAAAAAAGAGAATAAGCACAAAAAGCACAAAAATAATGAACGATGAAAGAAATAGAAATAACCAGCTGATTGTAATGAAGGAAAAAGAGGCAAAATGCTGTAAAGAGGATGTTGGATAAACGATGATGATCATCTTTTGAGTGATGCATGATCTTTTATCCTTGTTTTTTTCGCCATCCCTTTTAGTAAACTCTTTCAACTAACTTATTCCATTTTCATGATACTCACATTATTTGGCTGAAACGCTTCTCCATCCAAGATATTATATTCAATTCTGATGGGAGAGAGAAAGAAAAAAGAAAGGATAAGAGAGTAAACTCTGACAACGATTCACACTTCAATTCTTGTCTTCTTGACATTAAACCTAAAATCACAATCAATCTTCGTACTCTTAATCGTCTTTTTTTCATCAACTATCATCAAGAAAAACAACAACAAACAATAACCAACTCGTCTATTTCTGGTTAAATTCAATGTCACCAGAACTATCAATTACTGACTATTCAACTCTTCTCTTGAACCAGTCTGTTTTCCTTTTCTTCAGCATCTCCTATTTGTTCAGACTATCATCATGGATAGAACAGAATAATTGCATAAACACATTGTAATAAATTTAATTCAAAATTAACTTACCTTGATGATTTTAGTGTAATTTCATTAATAAACTAAACACGCTGCTAAAGCAAAAACATTTACTTTCATTGTTACCCAAAATTTTCAGGTTATACTCTAGAGCCAGTGAAGGAATGATGTTAAACTCTTGCAACTATTTTTGGATCCAAATTGATTCAAATTGACTTTAATTTCCCAAATCCAATAGTGCTGATCTTTCATTGATTGTTTCAATCCATGGTTTGTTAATAGCATTCATTTTAATCAATTGAGCTAATCTGTTATACTATCCTTGATTAGCTGAATCTTGGGAATAAGTTGAGGTCAAACACAGTTAATTGATTGAAGACTCTGGAAGTGGCAACCATTGAATCGAGGCAACTTCATTGGAGATTTTTTTTTTGATAAAAGCTTTCACTTGAAGCCAGGCTGGTAAAAGTCAGGTTTGGTTGAACATGATTTGAAATCAAAATTTTTCAAAAGTTATCAAGTTGATGTACGCAAATCAAAATGGCGTTGAAATTAAGTGAAAATCTGGTTACTTTGCTTTTTTTCTTGTTGAGGACAAAATAACGTAAATAACCACAAAACCATGGAGAAACTAAGAATGATTGATGTTGGATGAAGTTTATTATTCTTCCTTTTTTTCTCGTCCACCAAGCTAGTTATTTGGGAATGACCAGTTGAAACATTCACAGCTTAAAAGATTTTACATGTTTATTTGATGACATTGGACTATTTTTCAGGTTAATGGTGAAATGGTCTGCTGATCAAATTCAGAGGTAACTTGATTGAGAGCCTAAAATGGGTTGCGAAAGAAAAGAAAAGAAAATCAGAGAAAAGGAAAAGGATAAAAGAGAAAAAAAGTATAAAAAGTATATAAAAACGTTACAAACAAAGGAGATTGATTCAAATCAAACTGACCAGCGAAATTGCAATTCCTCTTCTTTTGGCCAAACTTATTATTTTCACTTTCAAATTGCTCTGCCTTCTAAAGTTACCATTGTAAATAAAAACAAACAGGCGCAGCACACAAACAATTGCAATGAAGTGAAAAATAATCGCATTGAGAGGCCAAAGAAAACAAAAAAATCCATTGTTACCATTTAATTAACCAGTTGTAATTGGATGAACTTGAGGTTTCAATAGAGCAGTTAAGCTTCTTAACCATTGTAAACATCCAAAGTTTTATATCTTTGGGAGAGCCATTTTTTTGGTCCATTACTTTTTCAAAAGATTCAAGATGAATCAATAAACATATTGAAGAATTAGATATATCGGAATTACTGAACTGTCCAAGAAAGCGAAGATTAAAACACAATTTTTGAATAATAAATTGAAATAATGAAATTTCACTTCAATTAAAATACTAATGAAGGTAAAAATGAATCGATTGACTTTCATCACAGAAAACAGTTGCAACTTGCAAGAAAAAAAGCTAAAGATATCAGAATAGATATCAATTACTTTCCATCTTGGATCGTATCGATAATAATGGATCCATTATAAACGTGATAATTTATTGGCAGATAAATCTTTTCAGATTATAATTAAATGAATTTGTTGGAAACCTAAGTCAGATATTCATCGACTGACTGACTACGAGTCTAAATTAGTTTAAATTTCATCGTCTGACTGGCTACATCGACCAACTCCGGTGTCTTGTAT